AAACACATAAGGCCCACAGACGACGGCAAAGCCGATTGCAAGCAACTCATGCTAATTTGTCTGGAAGGAGCAGGACGACAGATCACCTGATGCCGATGGAATCATCAGAAAAAAGGGCCAAGGTGTCTGGGAAAGGCGCATGGAAAGTGTGGACACCGGAAGCGTTACTCCGAGCAGCATTTTCTCAAGCATCATCGGCGTTGCGCCAGGTCGCCAGCGAGATAGATGGAGCCAGTGCGGCTCATGTGTTGAGCGCTCGTACTTTTGTGTCTAGTGTGCTTTTGAAGAAGCAAGAAGAAGGCCTTGCACAAGAGCTAGGCAAAGCAAGACATTGTGCAGTATCAGAGTCGCACAACCCACCTAAGCTTTGGATCTTGAACCTGATGTTCGACGAAACCGAGCTGGATCTGAGTTTGAATGGTGATGGGCCGGGCTCCTGGTCAATTCTAGCTTCTCATTCTCAATTGAGCTTCGGTTCAGCAGGAAGTATGACAGAACAGGATTTCATTCGAGTGCCTCAGGCCCTGCCCCGCAAAACAACTGCATGCATGTGGGCAGCATTGAACCTCGGAGCAGGGGGCCTTGGGCCAGGTAGCTTTTGCACCTTGGCTGACTTTCCATGTCTGCTGGTGACGTGCGACCAGGCCTCAGCAAATATCAAGTTGCTCAAACATTTGCATGCAGTTCTGCCTGAGCAGTGTTTTTTTATCCCTATGCTTTGTGCTCAACATAGGAACGGGAACGTGGTTGAGCGAATTACAAAGCTTTTGGGCATTCTGCCAGGTTCCTACTGTGTAGCAAAGTGCACCAGTAAAGGCAAAGTGTTCAAGGATCTGAGGGAAGCTGTCAAGCAACAGATTGACAAGGATTTGGTCGTCATGTCAGAAGAGCATCCAGGTTTGCAGGCCGAATGGTCCAGCGCACGCAAGCAAGCAACCACCTTCTTAGAACTTATGCTGCAAGGATTGGGCGATGCCAAACCTGAAGAACGTTCCGGAGTTTCGCAGCGGATCAAGAAGTTCGTGGACTTCTTCCGCGGCCCCTGGACAGGACCGAGTGCTGGGGTTCGGTTGGGTTCTTGATTTGGGAATCAGTGGTAAATCTAGATAAATCTGGTTGTGATTGCGCACGATGCCATAAGCGACTGATTAAACTTCTGCTTTATGGCTGCCGTAGCATGTCCTACAGTTGCAAAGTCTACTTGGAGTGTCGTTGCATGTTTTGACAGTTTTGACCTCTGATGCATGTGCACTCTGCATGTGGTTCAAGATCGCGACGTTCAGCTGACACAGTGAGTGAGTGACGTGTGTCTTTTTTTCTGAGCATCCCCGATTGCAATGTCGGGGCCGTCGGGGCTTTTCGAAATGACCGATACCCAGCTCCTGGCTTTCTTGCGGACAGAAGGGTTGGCAGCTTGTTTCGAAAGCATGGACGCTCGTGCGTCCGCGCTACAGGGCCTTTGGCCGGGTCCGGAGATGACTTCACAAGAGCTCAGGCAGCATGTGGTCGTCATCACGGACCACCTCGCATGTGACACCTACGGTGGAGTCGAGGCGATCAAGTGGGCACGGAACAGCTACAACGACAGGATCGATGTGCCCAAATACTCAAACTAGCCGTTATGGCTTATAGCCTAGAGTCCTAGAGCAGTAGGCGCCCCCCAAAGCCTGTAGCCTATAGCTCTCATACTTTATGACTTACCATACCATACTACAGTCTATAGTCCTATACTAAGGCATAGGAAGCAGGAGGCAGTTCTAAGTTAGTTGCTTTAAGGCGTAGCCGGGGGTTTCGTTTTGGACTCTTGGCTCTTTGAACTTTTAACGTTTCTGTTTGGGCCCTGTGTAGGCATCCTGCCCATGTCATCTTGGACCTGACGAATGAGTTCGGTTCCAAGTTGTGGCTCGGCGGATCGAAGGCAGGCACCGACACTAACCTGATGATCAGGAATGGAATCGGAGCGGTGTGGCCTGCGGCCAAGTCGGTCCAGCCGGATGACACAGCGGCGATCCGTGTATTGAGGTACACAGATGGGACTGGCGTCGTGCACGGCAACGTGAACATGGAGAGCGTGCTGCAGCAGATCGACAATGTGATCTCCTTGCTGCACCGCGGCGTGTCGGTCCTCATCTGCTGTGTCAACGGAGCCCATCGCTCCGCGACACTTGGTGCCATGACGCTCATGCGCCTTTTAGGCTGGTCGGCGACAGAAGTTGCGAACCTCGGCATTTCAGTATAGTCACTGTGTGCTTTCCAGTGAGTCAGACGTCGATGTGTTTGCCAGAAAGGCTGTAAGAGACAAGAATCAAGTTCAGGATAAGGTTACCTTAATCTTATATTAGGCCGCATTTGAGAATCTACAGGAACTATGTCTCCACATTGCGCAACATCGTCGACCTGAACAGCAGAGCGCCGCCATCGCAGTACAGAGTGAACACTATTCGCCCCATCGACTTTTTGATCGAGCACCAAGCAGAGATCGCTGGTAAATCGGGGGCCTCAGGCCTGGTCCAGGTCGGCAGCAACCAGGAGATATTTCCTTCCACGAGATATGCGAACGCCCTCATCACCCCTGTTCAGTTTCGTCGGCGCTGCATAGAAATGGGGTTCGTCCTTTCAGGCAAGGGCAAGCGGACTCGCCAGTCGTTGCCAGGGCCACAGTCATTGATATCGTCATCGTCGATGCCGCCGCCGCCCCCGCCCGGTCGCTCAAGCTCGACCCACCTTCGGTCCAAAGCTCGACCAGTCAAGCCGAGATCGAAGGGCGTTTCGCCAGGTCAGGTGCGGCAGAGTGGCACAAACACGGACTCCTCGTACATCAACGTTCCGACGGATGGTTTCTTAGAGCTGAAATTTTTATATATTTTTTATGATGAAGATAATTATAATGTAAGCAAGACAGAACGGCTACAGGTTTCGGCAAATAGTGCATTTGGTCTTGGTCCGTCACTAGATTGCCCAGTCTAGACTCTAGGACTCTAGGTAGTACACAACTCAGGTTTCATTACCGACGACTCAGAGATGCCGCACCCCAAGCGCATCAGCGAGGATTCGTCGGCCTCTGGCCAGGTCAGTGCCGCCAGTGCAGATGATGAGGCAGTGGACCCACCAGTTATGGTTGAAATTGAGGTTGCAGACGACGAAGAGAACGAGGAGTCCACCATGGAGAAGGCCTGCGAAAAGGGTGCAGCCGAAGCAGAGGAGCCGGAGTCAGACTTTGAGATGGTGACCTGCGATGACGAAGGCAAAGTAGCCGATGTCAATCCAGAGTCGCCTCCGCAGACGCCCCGTGCAAACTGGACTTCGGAAGACTTTGCACGCCTGGAGACAGTGATGCGCGATCTGGGGCACCTGAACCGCCAGCTGCTCTCTTTCAACAATGCTGAGGTCGAGGAGGATCAGGCCCAGGCTGATGATCAGGCCTCGGCCTCCGGCCCGGTAAGTGACCAGATCGCAGAGCCAGGGCAGCAAGCGGCGGAAGCGGATGAGCCAGGCGGTTTCTCGTCTTCTGCTTTGTTGCTTAACCACTTATGATAGGGAAGGGTCTTGATGAAGGTCCGGGTTGAGAAAACGGTCTGGGGTTTTAGGGTACAGCTAGTTACTTTAGCCCTTCCAGCCCATTGTCGCCCAAGCTTCAAGACTTCAAGCCGATCCAAGGCACCAGCGCAGACCCCGTGGAATCGGACGAGGGGGCCCGGGACGAGGCCTTGGGCCAGGTTGATGATGAGCCTGCGACTCCTGCGACGGCCGAGTCCGGAGAGCCGCTGGAGCCCTCCAGTTTGGACCTCGAGAAGACGATGGAAGCGCTCAAGGCGCAGGCGGCGGAAGGCGATAAGGACGAGATGCTTGGGAGGCTTTTTGGGCTACTTGAGACCCAGAAAGTCCAACAGCAGGCTCTATTGTCGAGACTGCAATCTCGCCAAGAAATGGACGAGAGAAAGAACGTCATCCTCACAGCGCTGTACAATCGCGACATGACGCGCCTCAGGGCGGAGCTCCAAGCGCTGACGGTCTCTGACCTCGTCTCAATCAGAGACGAAGAGGGGATGACAGTCGCCCATCATGCCGTGCGTTTGGGCCTTGGGCCTTGTCTGGAGTATACTCTCCGGAAAGCCCCGACTCTTGCGGATGCCGTGACGAACCCCTCAGGTCGCCCAGCGAACTGGACGCCGTTGATGGTGTTGGTTGATGCACCACCAGGATCTTTGGGAGGCACGGACTACGCCTACGACATGTTGAAGGTCCTGGTTTCCTACATGAGCGTCACAGGTCTCGTGAATCTCGGTCCTTTCAAGTAGTGTTCGTGTTTGTAAATATGTACTTCGGTGTGTGCTTAGTAAGATTAGTAAAAGATTATTCTTGAAGATTTTCGTGCCAACGTGACACAGTGATGTATTGGCCTTGGGCCGGGTCTTGCCTGGTGATTTTGGGCAGTTTTCTCTTGTTCTAGTGTTGCTAAGGACCAGGTCTCCAACAGGGGCGACAGCGTTTCACATTGCAGCCTCTCGTGGGAACCACCGTGGGCTGCAGAAGCTTTTGTGGTCCCTCTACCACAAGAGTGGTGGTGACAGGAACTCAACCTACGCATTTGGCCTGGTGACCTCACTCGTCAACAGCCCCGGCTTGAAGCGCGGGCAGGGGGTCGTCGACGCCGCACTCGCGAACAATATCGACTTGGCGATGTATGTGAAGCGGAATTGGGGCGGGGTCGAGCTTTTGTCTCCCCCAAGCCGCGGCGGCTATGCTGCGTAGAAAGTCAGAGTGTTGGCCTCAGGCCAGGTCAGAGCTGTCGCAACCAGGAGGAACCCCCACTAAGTATAGTTTCAGCCCAAGCATGGCATGTCGATCGTTGTCTAGAATTGCACAGATGTTTTGTTGGGTTACTTTCGTTTCATGTTGCTGGGCGACAGTCTCTGACCTGAGCAGTACAGTCCCAATCTTCCACAGTGTTCCAGAGGGCAGGCTGGACTGGTACAGTGACAGCATCAGACATCAACGGCCTGGCCTTGGGCCAAGCCTAGCTTAGTTTGCTTTCGGTACAACGAAAGGTCAAAGTTGGTTTCATTGATCGGCCTTTGGCCAAGTCCAGTCTGCTATCGCTGTCGCTCAAGTCGATTTCACAAACGACGACTGCATTCCTTTCGTGTGTGATTTCGCTTGCTGTTGCTGCCACGTGAAAAAGATCACGTCGTTTCTGCCGCAATAACTACGCGAGGCTTGTGCATGGGCTGCATGGGTTCCAGGCAGATTAGTTAATGTCAAGTCAAGGCAATGCAACTTGTGATTCAGGCTACCGACATCTGAGGGCTTGACCGTTGCAGTGCAGTTTCCATACCCTAGGCAACATCCCCCTAGATGTTGATGCTCTCAGTCCGAACTGTCGTCAAGTTAGTGTTACAACACATCCTACTCTACCCGCTTTGTTTTGTGAGTTTGTTACATGTGACTATGACTATGACTCTACGACTATGTATGCGACGCTTTATGAATGCTAGCTGCTAGCTCCCTGCATGGAACCCAGGTTGCAGTCTAGTTTGCTGCTGTTATTGGCTGTTATGCAGTTATGCACTCGACAAGCTTGCATCGCAGCGTGATAAGTTTTCAATAGTTCAGCCAAGACATGTTTTGAATCGATTTTGAACCGATTTTGAAGCGATTTTGAAGCGATTTTGAAGCGATTTTGAACCGATTTTGAAGCGATTGCCTGCAGGACGGCCAGTTCACGTATGTGGAGGAGCTGATTGCTGCAAGGACCGAGCCGACTCTGTTTGCAAAGCCTTCGGCTTGGTGGAAGAGGTTTTGCTCAAACCCGTTTTGGTGCCAGCTTTGAACAAATGGACGAAGGTTGCACCTTGCATGCGGCACATTTCTGTGATGCAGAATTTTTGCAACCTTGTTCCCCAAGCCTTCGAGGCCGCCTTCGGCACATCGAAAATGGTGCCTGAAGCGCCAGACGACGAAGAAGAAGGTGCAGATGTTGGAGCCCCGCTTAACGAATCAAAGCTGTGGGCCCGATTGGCCAGGTTACGGTTGGTGAAGGCTGGGGTTTTTTTACAGGACAAGTCTTTCCATTGGTCGACAGTCCTGTGGACCGTGTTGACTGCGCCAGTCATGAACATTCATTATGCATTGTTTAAGCACGCCACATGGTTGTCAGATCGTGATCTAGAAGCACCGGAAATGCAGGAGGAGGGGGATTTGGAGTTGGATAGGTCTTTGACCGCGTCTTGCTTTTGCAAGGCAGCTGAAAATCCCGCCAAGAAGGCGATGGCGTGCCTTTCAAAGATGCTTGATGACGTCGCCAGCGACGAGTGGGGTCCCGCCGTCCTGTGCTTTGGCCCGATTCTGTCGTGGCCTCAGGCCAGGTTGCGAGTGCTTCGGCGAGGATTTTTCACTGTGGTGGGTCAACTCTGGAGGAAGCTGCTTTATCCTTGGACGCAATACCCATGGAAGCTAGCATGTCTGATCGACAGCGAAACGACCAATGCAGAGAAGCAGCGTTGTGCTCAGGATTTGTTTGATCAGCCTGTGTGTTGTTTGGATGGATTTGCTAGGAAGCTGCGCGAGGTGCGAAAGTCTTCAAACAGTTTGATGGAGGATGATGTGTTGGAGTTCTTGCAAGCAGTGTTTGAACGGATCGTTCCCACTTCCACGTATATTGAAAGAATGTTTGCAAGACTGACAGAATGGAGTGGACCAACGAATCAGAGAGGGCCGAAGAGAAGATTGTCAGCAGTCGTATCCAAGCACTGCGCGCACACGTTCGAGCACCATGTCAAGAGGTGGCGGAAGATGACTTTGAGGCAAAAGCGCAAACGTCTCCACAACCGAAGGCCTGCATGGGCGCAAGGTAGGCTGAAGGGCAAGGCGCGAAATGGTTGGCATGCTTTTGCGCAGGACTTGTTTCGTCGGCATCCTGGGCTTTTGCAAGCGTCTCGAGGTGACCGCAATGCAAGAGTGGCCGCTGAATGGGCCCAAGCCGACAAAAAGCGCTGGGCCGCTGTCGCACGCTCTCAGAACCTCCAGGCCAGTAGTGCAGTGGATCAGGAAGCGAGTGCAGAGGATGCCCAGGCCGCCGCCGATTTTGTTGGAGGTCCTTGGAATATTGGTGCCGCAGACGGGTTCCCTCTAGCGCGGCACAGTATCGCTGCTGATTGCAACAAGGTCAAAGCAATCGCAAATGCTTTTCATGCACAGCACAATGTCCTGCAGCCGGAAGAGGCCAACAGCTTGTTGGGAGCTCCGCCTGAACCGTGGCCTCTGTTCCCCACATGCACAATCAACGGCTGTGAGCATTCACTGCCAGAAAAGAAGCAAGAATGCATGCAGCATCTGCGTGCGCTGTTCTGGCGCGCCGTGCTGCAAAAAGCCCCCACAGCCAAATCCACAGGGAAAGAGCCGTTGCTTCTCTCCTTTCATTCCGCCACACTAGATGCAACTCTAAGCCTGGCTGTTGCTTTTCACACTCTCCGCGCCCCGCACCAGGCGGCAGTGCTTCTTCTCCACCCTGTAGAAATGGCTGATCTTGCAGGAGAGGGTGTTGTTGTGAGCCTGCATTGTTTTTCGCAGAGTGGTCGAAGAGAGCTTCAGCTTGAAAGCGAGAGTGTGGCTTTGGCAAGGCTTGCCCGGCAAGCGTCCGACTGGAAATTGAACGTGCTAGACGTGGGGCCTGTGCGTCACATCAACAGGTTCGACATTACAGCATCCCATCCTTTCGATGACAAAGATGGCGGCGATGCGGGTTTGCCAGTGCAGGTTGATGCTGACACTGAGGCTGCGCTTGTTGCATTCGATGCATTGCACCCATCTGCTCAAAAGAAGGGCCCCAAGAGGCAGTTCCAGGCCTCAGGCCAGGTTGGGCACGCAAAGCCTTCAGGCCTCAAGACCGAGCCAGAAGCGAAGAAAAAGCTTACCAAAGAGCAGAAAGCGAAGCGTGCACAGATTCGGGCCGAAAAAGCGCTGCAAGGTATAATTCCTATGCCCTCGGATTCAGAATCCGACGCTGCCGGTGATGGCAATGGCAATAATGTCCAAAATGCAGATGAAAAAAATGAAGAAAACATTAATGCAGAATCCGAGCTTGAAGACTTGGAGGCTCCCAAATTTTTGGTTCCAGAGGAGGAACTCACGCAGTACGAGCAACCAGCTTCAAGTAGCTCAGTCGTGCCCAAACAGCGGCAACTTCAGACACGTTCGATGATGAAGCGGGGGCAGCCATGGGGAATCTTTTCCCTTTCTCCAATCTACCGTGATGGGGTTCATGTTGCTTGGGAGGCACTGTGTCGCTGCCACAACAACCTCGGGGATAAGCTGGGCTCGTCCTGCAAAAAATCCGTCTCCATAGCGAACTGAAACGTTGGCTGGTTGCAGGCTTGGACGACTCGGAGTGGCGCGACAATGAAAAGCGCAGCTGCCACCTGTCTCTGGGCGGGCCCTTGCTTGCACATTTTGCCGAAGGTTTGTCTGAAGCTGAGCTTGATGTCAAGGCTGGGGCGCGCCAGTGATTTTTTATGGTGTTGCTGGATGCCGTTACAAGAGCTTGACCTTATAATTCAGGGTTTGCAGGGTTTAGGGTTTAGGGCCTCGAGCCGGGTCTCTGAGAACCTAGCTAGAAATCCAGCAGACTTGGTTGAGCGTGGAAAAGCCAAAGCTGCAACAGCTGCTTCATGGGCTTGCGCCAAAAAATCAAAAAACGGCTTCAAGGACCAACTTTTGTGATTTGTGGCTTCAAGCCAGGTCTAATCTTCGCGAACACGCGTTCTGCCGCTATTCGAGCGGTCTGTGATCCTTCCGATTGGAAACCCAAACACGTCTTCCAAGACGAGCTTTTGTGGCCTAAGGCCAGGTCTCAGCGCGAAAGCCTAGAAATCCAGGAGTCTTGGCAGAGCGTGGAAAAGAAAAAAAAAACCTTCAAGGGCCAGCTTTTGAGATTTGTGGCCTCGGCCAGGTCTATATTCTATATTGACCAACGCGCGATATGTCTATGTCGCTGGTCCAGCGTTCAAAGATGAGCGTCTGTGGCCTAAGGCCAGGTCTCATTGCAAAAGCGCAAACCCGGAAATCCCGGAGACTTGGCAGCGTGGAAAAAAAAGCGGCAACAGCTGCTTCGGGCTTGAAGGCCTTGCGAAAAAGCTGAAGAGGACTATCGGCGATCGGGTCAAGGCGATTCCGCAAAGCAGCCGCTTGGAGGCGTCGTTCAAGCAGGAGATCCGTGGTTGTTTGCATAGTCGCAGACTTTTCTTATTTGGGTTAAGTGTTTGGTGATTTTGTAAACACGCGCAGTTTTTCATGACGTAGAACACTGGTCCAGGACAAAAGTGCAAGGGATGGTGCCATCGACAAACACAAAGGATGTCGGGCTCTCAGAGCGGGTCAACAAGCGTGAAGAGCGCAGTTTCGGCTTCGACCGCCTCTTGCGAGAAGGCTTTGGAATGCGAAAGGGAGGCGCTGCATACTGCAGTGCAGGCACAGTCGGCGCCGGTGGCTACCACTGCAAGGCCGGAGCCCGGTCTTGGAGTAGAAGCCACCGGCGACGGCCGGCGACCGCTATCTTGATGGCCACACAGCCTGTAGCAAGCCAGGGAGACCGTGTGCCAGCGGCCATGACCTCCTTGGCTTGCTACAGGCTGACTCTGAAGGCGATGACGATCCATGACTGTCTGTAGCAAGCCAGGCAGGCCAAGCTGCCAGCATGGCCTGCCTGGCTTGCTACAGACTGTCGACTCGACAGCGTTCCTCTGTGCGCAAAAGTG